TGCTTCCTGAACACATATCCTTGTTTAATGTGATAGTTAACTGGAGACTTGGAATAATGAATCTTATTGTAAGTGAGAAGGGTACCTGCTTCCTGAACACATATCTTTGTTTAATGTGATAGTTAACTGGAGACTTGGAATACTGAATCTTATTGTAAGTGAGATGGGTACCTGCTTCCTGAACACATATCTTTGTTTAATGTGATAGTTAACTGGAGACTTGGAATACTGAATCTTATTGTAAGTGAGAAGGGTACCTGCTTCCTGAACACATATCTTTGTTTAATGTGATAGTTAATTGGAGACTTGGAATACTGAATCTTATTGTAAGTGAGATGGGTACCTGCTTCCTGAACACATATCTTTGTTTAATGTGATAGTTAATTGGAGACTTGGAATAATGAATCTTATTGTAAGTGAGAAGGGTACCTGCTTCCTGAACACATATCTTTGTTTAATGTGATAGTTAATTGGAGACTTGGAATAATGAATCTTATTGTAAGTGAGAAGGGTACCTGCTTCCTGAACACATATCCTTGTTTAATGTGATAGTTAATTGGAGACTTGGAATAATGAATCTTATTGTAAGTGAGAAGGGTACCTGCTTCCTGAACACATATCTTTGTTTAATGTGATAGTTAATTGGAGGCTTGGAATAATGAATCTTATTGTAAGTGAGAAGGGTACCTGCTTCCTGAACACATATCTTTGTTTAATGTGATAGTTAATTGGAGACTTGGAATAATGAATCTTATTGTAAGTGAGAAGGGTACCTGCTTCCTGAACACATATCCTTGTTTAATGTGATAGTTAATTGGAGACTTGGAATAATGAATCTTATTGTAAGTGAGAAGGGTACCTGCTTCCTGAACACATATCTTTGTTTAATGTGATAGTTAATTGAAGACTAAGAATACTGAATCTTATTGTAAGTGAGAAGGGTACCTGCTTCCTGAACACATATCTTTGTTTAATGTGATAGTTAATTGGAGACTTGGAATAATGAATCTTATTGTAAGTGAGAAGGGTACCTGCTTCCTGAACACATATCTTTGTTTAATGTGATAGTTAATTGGAGACTTGGAATAATGAATCTTATTGTAAGTGAGAAGGGTACCTGCTTCCTGAACACATATCTTTGTTTAATGTGATAGTTAATTGGAGACTTGGAATAATGAATATTATTGTAAGTGAGAAGGGTACCTGCTTCCTGAACACATATATTTGTTTAATGTGATAGTTAACTGGAGACTTGGAATACTGAATCTTATTGTAAGTGAGAAGGGTACCTGCTTCCTGAACACATATCTTTGTTTAATGTGATAGTTAACTGGAGACTTGGAATAATGAATCTTATTGTAAGTGAGAAGGGTACCTGCTTCCTGAACACATATCTTTGTTTAATGTGATAGTTAATTGGAGACTTGGAATAATGAATCTTATTGTAAGTGAGAAGGGTACCTGCTTCCTGAACACATATCTTTGTTTAATGTGATTAAGTTAACTGGAGACTTGGAATAATGAATCTTATTGTAAGTGACAAGGGTACCTGCTTCCTGAACACATATCTTTGTTTAATGTGATTAAGTTAACTGGAGACTTGGAATACTGAATCTTATTGTAAGTGACAAGGGTACCTGCTTCCTGAACACATATCTTTGTTTAATGTGAAAGTTAACTGGAGACTTGGAATACTGAATCTTATTGTAAGTGAGAAGGGTACCTGCTTCCTGAACACATATCTTTGTTTAATGTGATAGTTAACTGGAGACTTGGAATAATGAATCTTATTGTAAGTGAGAAGGGTACCTGCTTCCTGAACACATATCCTTGTTTAATGTGATAGTTAACTGGAGACTTGGAATAATGAATCTTATTGTAAGTGAGAAGGGTACCTGCTTCCTGAACACATATCTTTGTTTAATGTGATAGTTAATTGGAGACTTGGAATAATGAATCTTATTGTAAGTGAGAAGGGTACCTGCTTCCTGAACACATATCCTTGTTTAATGTGATAGTTAACTGGAGACTTGGAATAATGAATCTTATTGTAAGTGAGAAGGGTACCTGCTTCCTGAACAGATATCTTTGTTTAATGTGATAGTTAACTGGAGACTTGGAATAATGAATCTTATTGTAAGTGAGAAGGGTACCTGCTTCCTGAACACATATCTTTGTTTAATGTGATAGTTAACTGGAGACTTGGAATAATGAATCTTATTGTAAGTGACAAGGGTACCTGCTTCCTGAACACATATCTTTGTTTAATGTGATTAAGTTAACTGGAGACTTGGAATACTGAATCTTATTGTAAGTGAGAAGGGTACCTGCTTCCTGAACACATATCTTTGTTTAATGTGATAGTTAACTGGAGACTTGGAATAATAAATCTTATTGTAAGTGACAAGGGTACCTGCTTCCTGAACACATATCTTTGTTTAATGTGATAGTTAATGAAGACTAAGAATACTGAATCTTATTGTAAGTGAGAAGGGTACCTGCTTCCTGAACACATATCTTTGTTTAATGTGAAAGTTAACTGGAGACTTGGAATAATAAATCTTATTGTAAGTGACAAGGGTACCTGCTTCCTGAACACATATCTTTGTTTAATGTGATAGTTAACTGGAGACTTGGAATACTGAATCTTATTGTAAGTGAGAAGGGTACCTGCTTCCTGAACACATATCTTTGTTTAATGTGATAGTTAATTGGAGACTTGGAATAATGAATCTTATTGTAAGTGAGAAGGGTACCTGCTTCCTGAACACATATCTTTGTTTAATGTGATAGTTAATTGAAGACTTGGAATAATGAATCTTATTGTAAGTGAGAAGGGTACCTGCTTCCTGAACACATATCTTTGTTTAATGTGATAGTTAATTGAAGACTTGGAATAATGAATCTTATTGTAAGTGACAAGGGTACCTGCTTCCTGAACACATATCTTTGTTTAATGTGATTAAGTTAACTGGAGACTTGGAATAATGAATCTTATTGTAAGTGAGAAGGGTACCTGCTTCCTGAACACATATCTTTGTTTAATGTGATTAAGTTAACTGGAGACTTGGAATAATGAATCTTATTGTAAGTGAGAAGGGTACCTGCTTCCCGAACACATATCTTTGTTTAATGTGATAGTTAACTGGAGACTTGGAATAATGAATCTTATTGTAAGTGACAAGGGTACCTGCTTCCTGAACACATATCTTTGTTTAATGTGATAGTTAACTGGAGACTTGGAATAATGAATCTTATTGTAAGTGACAAGGGTACCTGCTTCCTGAACACATATCTTTGTTTAATGTGATAGTTAATTGGAGACTTGGAATAATGAATCTTATTGTAAGTGACAAGGGTACCTGCTTCCTGAACACATATCTTTGTTTAATGTGATAGTTAATTGGAGACTTGGAATACTGAATCTTATTGTAAGTGAGAAGGGTACTTGCTTCCTGATCACATATCTTTGTTTAATGTGATAGTTAATTGGAGACTTGGAATAATGAATCTTATTGTAAGTGAGAAGGGTACCTGCTTCCTGAACACATATCCTTGTTTAATGTGATAGTTAATTGGAGACTTGGAATACTGAATCTTATTGTAAGTGAGAAGGGTACTTGCTTCCTGATCACATATCTTTGTTTAATGTGATAGTTAATTGGAGACTTGGAATAATGAATCTTATTGTAAGTGAGAAGGGTACTTGCTTCCTGATCACATATCTTTGTTTAATGTGATAGTTAATTGGAGACTTGGAATACTGAATCTTATTGTAAGTGAGAAGGGTACTTGCTTCCTGATCACATATCTTTGTTTAATGTGATAGTTAACTGGAGACTTGGAATACTGAATCTTATTGTAAGTGAGAAGGGTACTTGCTTCCTGATCACATATCTTTGTTTAATGTGATAGTTAATTGGAGACTTGGAATAATGAATCTTATTGTAAGTGAGAAGGGTACCTGCTTCCTGAACACATATCTTTGTTTAATGTGATAGTTAACTGGAGACTTGGAATAATGAATCTTATTGTAAGTGAGAAGGGTACCTGCTTCCTGAACACATATCTTTGTTTAATGTGATAGTTAACTGGAGACTTGGAATAATGAATCTTATTGTAAGTGAGATGGGTACCTGCTTCCTGAACACATATCTTTGTTTAATGTGATAGTTAATTGAAGACTAAGAATACTGAATCTTATTGTAAGTGACAAGGGTACCTGCTTCCTGAACACATATCTTTGTTTAATGTGAAAGTTAACTGGAGACTTGGAATAATAAATCTTATTGTAAGTGAGAAGGGTACCTGCTTCCTGAACACATATCTTTGTTTAATGTGATAGTTAACTGGAGACTTGGAATAATGAATCTTATTGTAAGTGAGAAGGGTACCTGCTTCCTGAACACATATCTTTGTTTAATGTGATAGTTAATTGGAGACTTGGAATAATGAATCTTATTGTAAGTGAGAAGGGTACCTGCTTCCTGAACACATATCTTTGTTTAATGTGATAGTTAATTGAAGACTAAGAATACTGAATCTTATTGTAAGTGACAAGGGTACCTGCTTCCTGAACACATATCTTTGTTTAATGTGATAGTTAACTGGAGACTTGGAATACTGAATCTTATTGTAAGTGAGAAGGGTACCTGCTTCCTGAACACATATCTTTGTTTAATGTGATTAAGTTAACTGGAGACTTGGAATACTGAATCTTATTGTAAGTGACAAGGGTACCTGCTTCCTGAACACATATCTTTGTTTAATGTGATAGTTAACTGGAGACTTGGAATACTGAATCTTATTGTAAGTGAGAAGGGTACCTGCTTCCTGAACACATATCTTTGTTTAATGTGATAGTTAACTGGAGACTTGGAATAATGAATCTTATTGTAAGTGAGAAGGGTACCTGCTTCCTGAACACATATCTTTGTTTAATGTGATTAAGTTAACTGGAGACTTGGAATACTGAATCTTATTGTAAGTGACAAGGGTACCTGCTTCCTGAACACATATCTTTGTTTCTATTTCTGCCTCATCATCTCTCAGCAATGTGATCAGATCTTCCTCATAGTCCTCTACAAAACTCTCACACTGCAACAAACACAATTATAAAATGAAAGCATTTTTGCATGAACTTATTGAATGTCTTCAGGTACATGATGTTATTTAACAAATGAAATGTTATCATTATTTTGTTAAATTGATGAAAGTGGGCTACTTCATTTATTTAATAATACATGTATATTTAGTCCTATTGACTTTTGATTATTTCAATTTTTCATTTCAAATGGCGCAAGTCACAGAGTAGACTGGAGTCAACATTAACACAATCATGAATGTTGACAAAACTTAATAAAATGTGTCTATGATGTCTTTATTTTTTTTAATGAATGTAGGAAATTGCTACTAATGACCATTATCTGTTAGAATATGTTTTAATAACCTGCTCCATTTCATTTAATTCAGCTTTACCCTTTAATGTTATTTCACATTTTCCCATTTGTTATCTAAATACGTAAGTCTAGAATTTTATCACATAAAAGCCTCTAGAAAGAGAGAGTTCTTACATTTTGGCGAGCACCCTAAAGACCTGTATCAAAATAATCCTTTATATCTTACAAAAGATTTGTGAGATTTGCCAAGGTGAACGAGGTGTCGAAAGCCACTAATTAGATGATTAATTAAAGGCAGAACCAGATCTATAGGGGTGAAAAATATCACGCTATGTTATAAATTGGTGCAGTTATAATGGATTCAAAGTGCAAAAATAAGTGAAAAATGTTTAAATTCTCCCAAATAATAAGAATGGTAACCATTCTTACAGAAAAATAATACGTTGTTGTATATATCCCTAGTTTTCCTGAAATATAGTATGCACTTTGGTGATTTTAAGAAAATAGACATGAGAAGGAATGACACAAGCCAGAAATATTTTAAAATTGAAACATATAGCATTCATCATTTCTAACTAGTTCAATCAATACAATAGTGCAGTCAGTTAGCTGTTCAATTGCACATGCTATATATAAAGCACCATTATTTGACAGAAGTATCATCAATACATATATTTTTGATATCTAACGAAGCGGTGGTGAAAAGTGGCCCCAGTTGATAATTTAAAGGCCTCAAAAATTTTGCACATTTTTTCTTTTGCCTTGTTCCAAAGTTATTAGCATTTGAATTTTGGAAAATCTCCATTGGCTGCCATTATAAACCGCTGTCAATATGGCTTTTTTAAATTGTCCTTTTCCCAAAAAGTCTACTCTGGAATTTTCTAATATTGTAGAAGTGAAAAACCTATATTGAGCCCCGTGTTTATTTATCAATCTTTAAAAGACCCCCTGCAGAACAGTTTAAAAGTAATGAATCCCATATTCCTAGTATGTTACAATAACATGATTATCTTCAAAATTAGAAGGGTTTTTTTTTTTTTCTTTTGCCTACTTCCAAAGATACTGGCATTTGAATTTTGGAAAATCCCCATTGGCTACCATTATAACCGCTATTAATATGTCTTTACTAAAGTGTAATTTTCTCAAATAGTCTACTATGAAATTTTCTAATATTGTAGATTTCTATAGTATTATTCACTTAAAAGAAATCAAACAGGCACATAAAAAAAAAATTATTCCCTTCTCTCTTTTAATAGCTGGTCTATATAATAGAGAGATTTCGCACATTAGTGAAAGTACAATTTATACGCATACGTATTCTTTAAAGGGTCATGTGGAACTATTATATTTACTAAAATCAATTTTATATTGTACTTAATGGATCATAACTATTCCCGATATAGAAAAGCTCCATCAACTAGAGACTGTGAATGCACTGTCATCTGTATGTGTAGATTATGCACATTATAATTAAATGCTTGCTTCCGTGTCCTTGTAGTTGTAGTGTATTATAAAACAAACAAACCAAACAATATTGACTATATTGCAATGGAATGCACATGGTCTATCACAACATACAAATAAAGGGGAACTACTTGAACGTTTCAATTCATATGACATTATAAATATCTGTGAAACTTGGGCAAAAATGAATCATGATTTTGACGATTTACTTGATACGCATAAATGCTTTGGTCTAAGCAGACCTAAAACTAAATCAAGAGGCAGATACCATGGAGGGATATGTGTATTCGTTCGTAAATCACTATTAGATGGGATCAAAAATGTATGTCATAACCTAAAAGAATCTACATTACTTCGGATTAGATAAAGATATTGGATTATTGTGCATATGTGTAGCTCCAGAAAGATCTTCACTTTATAACCATGAAGAGGACGGAATATCTCTATTGGAAACAAAAATCATCCATTTGTTGGAGAAAGTGCCAGAATGTGACATATTATTAAGTGGTGATTCAAATTGTAGAACTGCACAATTGCAAGACTATATCACATCAGACACAGCAAAGAATATCCATTTTCCTGAACTATATAACCTTGACAACTTTCAAAAACCAAGAGCAAACCATGACACAGTAGATAACCAGTATGGCAGATCTCTTATTGATAAATGTAAAACATTTGGCATTCACATCGTAAATGGAAGAACAAAGGGTGACCCAGAAGGAAAATTCACATGTACATCAAATGATGGACTCAGCCAAGTAGATCTCACATTAGCACCAGATTCATTATTTGATAAAACTGAAAACTTTTCTGTACTAACAGTTGAAGAATCTGACCATTACCCAACACTCCTGCAGTTAAACATTAATATCCTCCATGAACAGCAACAAGACATTAACCGAAACCCGAAAATAATAAAAACCGATTCCTATAAATGGAAACATGATAAAGAACCAACATTTCAGAGAACCATGTGTGATGATGAAACAAAAGCTCTCCTGCAGAACTTTTCACGTCTGATAAATGATGGCAACATCAATGGAAGTATAAATGTCCTGAACAATATATACACAAGAGCAGGTGCAAGCATGAAACAAAAATCATCGAGCAAACAGGCAAAAAACAAACCCCAACAACCAGAATGGTGGGATAATGAACTACAGGAACTGAAAGCCAAGAAATACCGCCAATTGAACATTTTCAGGACAACACGCAACCAAACTGACTACGAACAATACACATTATACAGGAATCAATTCAAGACATCAGTTAAACTTAAGAAGAACAAACTGAAGGCAAAGATGTGTGGCCTAATACAAGACTGTGACAATAAATGGGCGACAATCAAACAATTGTTAAGAAAGAAACAACCTTATATCAATATTGACCCTAATGATTGGAAAGACTACTTCAATTCACTACTGAATGATGAAACTGTAAATATTGACCAGGAATTTAAAATACTGATAGATCATACCATGCAACTCCATGACAACCTGTGTATTGAATGTGATAATAATGACCCAGATATATTAAATGATCCAATTTTCATAAAAAGGGAACCTATATATGTCTAAATTTTCGAGGTATTTCACTTCTTGAAACCTTAGCAAAGATGTTTAATTCAATATTCAATACAAGGATGTTAAATTGGAGTAAAGGTAACAGCGTTATAGATGAATCCCAAGCGGGATCGAGACCAGGGTACAGTACAATTGATAATATTTTCACTTTATCAGCAATGACCCAGAAACATTTGTCAACACCAGGTGGAAGGTTCTATTGTATGTTTATTGATTTCTCAAAAGCGTTTGATAATATACCCCACCGCCACCTATTTTATAAAATGATGACTACAGGTATCCATGGTAACGTGTTAAAACTATATCAATCGATGTACAGTAAACTTCAATGCTGTGTTAAATGCGAGATAAATGTAAATATAGAGCAAGATATCCATACTATTAAACATGTAAAAGGAATTACAAATTTTTTTCCATGTACAAAGGGTATATTTCAAGGAGATTCACTCAGCCCAATGTGGTTCATTATGTATGTAAACTCATTTTTTAACATGCTGAGGGAACAAAACTGCCAAGGAATCCATATTGTAGAAGGTTCCCCTAATATAATGGCATTGTGTTATGTGGATGACTTAAATTGTATAGGTAACACTGTACCAAATGTGCAAAAACAACTTGATACCTTGGGTAGCTTTTCACGTAAATGGGGAATGAAAGTAAATTTATCCAAAACAAATGTGATGGTGTTCAGGAATGGTGGTCCCCTCAGGCAAAATGAAAAATTTTATTTTGAAGGTGCAGAGATAGAACAAATATCATATTATCAATATCTAGGTATACTATTTTCCACAAGACTCTCCTGGTCTCCAGCTAAAAGTCAGCTTGCTTCACAAGCAAAGAAATCGATTATTTTACTCAAACAACTTAACCAAAAGTGTGGAAGAATACCACTTAAACTTATGTTCTCTCTGTTTGATGCCATGGTAACACCCATCTTGTGCTATGGTTCAGAGATGTGGGGATATGAATGGTGTAATGTAATTGAATGTACACAAGCTCAATTTTGTAAATATTATATAGGTGTGGGACCACAATCAAATGATGCAGCAGCATTAGGCGAATGTGGCAGACTTCCACTTTGTACCACTTATATGCTTAAAACCATAAAATATTGGATAAAATTAACAGAAATGCCTAATCATAGACATCCTAAATCATGCTATACAATGCTTTATCAACTAGATCAATCGGGAAAAACAACTTGGGCATCAAAAATCAAATATTTGCTTTTTTCACTGGGATTTGGACATGCATGGTTTGAGCAAAGTGTAGGGAACCAATTATATTTTATTTTTATATTTAAGCAAAGACTTCAGGATATGTACAGCAAAGCTTGGCTAGGGAAACTCAGGGAAAGCCCCAAATTATATACATGCATGCAATTTAAAAATATATTAGAGCCTGAATTTTATTTATTATGTAATTTAGAATATAGATGTATTAAAGCTCTAGCAAAATTTAGAGTTTCGAACCACTGTTTTGAAATTGAAACGGGAAGACACTGTAATATTGTAAGAGACAACAGAATGTGTAAATATTGTACCATAATAATAGAGGATGAGTACCATGTAATGTGTAAGTGTCCTAGATACCATAATATTAGATTAAGTCTTGACATTACCTTTGTAGAAAACTACAGCACAGATCA